TCCAACTTAAGAGCTTAAGTAAACACCAGAGGGGGAAGAAAGGATAAGATCAATATGAAAATAAAGAGCTTGGTCTCAAACTTACCTTGTTGGTAGGGTGCTGGCTCAAACGGTGGGGCTGCTCCTCTAGGATCTTGATAAAACATATCTGCTTGCTGAGTATTATACAACTGAGACCCTCGTGGTACCATTTGCAACTGCTTGGTGACAGACACTGAAGGCAGATCTGTTGGTGCCCGAGCGGGCACAGGATGAGGGTTCACTGGTAAGGCAGAAATAGAGCTCTTGGGGACAGACTCCAGTCTGAAAAGCAGAAAGATGACACTGCTCATTAAGGCCTGATACAGCACATTGTACTTTAAAACACTGCTCTTTGTCTATATTCCACCTACTGAATGCTTACATCACCGTCTCCAATTAAAATATAAGCAAAGAGGGAAGTAAAGCAGTTTAGAGTTTTAGCTTTAGTTTTCTACTCCACTGTTTAATCACTTAAAATTGTAACACCCAACACCAAACCCAATCTGTTCTGTTCTTTTAATGGGTTTACTTTGTTTCTACTGCACATTTACACACATGACACTTTGAATAACAGTTAGGAAGACCCGTACAAGTCAGGAGGGGATCCAGGGGCACTGCTACTCAGATGGTCCATCTTCCCTGGCTTCAGAGCCGTTTCGTAACCGGAGTCTGTCCCTCGAGAAATAAGTTGCGTCACCGTGCTGCCTGTTGACACAATTCCATTTGGCAGAGCAGAAGTTTTCCTATTGGGCAATTCCACTCCCCCTTCCTCCGAGAGGATAGCTCCTGAAGGTAGGCCCACCTCATTCAGCTGGCCCAAGGAGGCACTCAGAGGTCTTCTGGGAACCAGACGCTTGTTCATTTTACGGAATCTTCAGAAAAAAAGAAACCACACATCCAAAATTGAAACAAAAAACTAATAGGAGTTGCATTTTCAAGATTTTTTTTCAAACACAGGTGCTAACGAAATCTTCCAAGTTTAAATTCAAGTTTCCTAAAGGCTTGTGAGAAATTTATTATGAGTATCTGTTAAGACTACAA